TAGTTAAAAGCATCTATCGGAAATAAACATTACCATAGGCGACAAAAACCCATGGACGACAAAAAACTGCAGGGAAAATGTGCAAAAAACACACCTTCGTACTGGCAGCCGGTGTGCTCTCGATTAAATTTGTTATAGCCACACAACAAACAAAAAAAAATCTTGTATAATTGCTGCAGTTTTTGATTAGTAGGTTGCAGGAAGAGTTACCGTTGAAGTTCTTGATTTTTAGATCTTCAAGACGTCATCGTGATGATCGCGATCGGGATCGTGATTCGGATAGATATCGTGAGAAGGAGCGTGACCGAGAATCACGCTCCAGACGTCATCGTTCACGTAGCAGTTCTCCGTATGAAAGTAATCATTTTTCGAGCATATGTGTTTTTTTCTCGAACTTTTTTTTTCGAACTTTTGCACAACATATGTTTTATTTTGATTGCAAAATTGATTTTTGTTGAGTTTTTTTTTTTTTTGCTTCAAATAATTTTACCTCAGATAGAGTATATGGAGTTGAAATTTGGAAAGCCTAGCATAGTTGCGCCTGGCATCTGAGTGCAATCAGACTAACAACACTTGCATGCACGATACCCACAGCGAGCGATTATTCAAACGATTATCTTGGTTCTGGATTCAGTCCTCAATTTAGTTGAAAGAGTTTTCAAAACAGTGTTTTCGATAGTACATTTTATTTCATCTTCATAGAGCTGCTCACAGTCGTCGTTGAGATTATTATCACCAACAAAAAAAAAATTTTCATTAGACAATTTAGGGGAAAAAAAATTTTTTTCGGGGATTCATAAGGCATGCTTTCATTCATAACAGGATTTGGTTTAGCCCTCTAGCCGACTGAAAAGTTTGCCCAGTAACAGTCATTGTTTAGGCTCACGGAGTTCACGGAGAAAGGAAGATCGGGACAGGGACAGAGAAAAGAGGCGCAGGAAAGAGGATTCGGGAACCCGAATAAAGGAAGAAATTGTTGATGATAAAGAAAGTGATAAAAAGGAAGAACGAGCTGATCGAGAAAAAGACCGAGAGAAGGACCGGGAAAGGAAAAGAAGGTAGGGAATTTGATGTGAACCGCTTAATTTCAGGCTTCCTCGAATTTTTGATCATGTTGAAATTGAGTGATTATCGTCTGGGACTGATAAGTAGCGTTTATGAGTGTTCTTCAGACTGCGTCCTATATTCTTTTGCTTCTGGTCTGCCAGGTTTTCATTTTTGAGGGTTTGGTGTTGAGGATTCTAACGCGTTCGTTTTGGCAGCTAAGAATACAACCTTTTTGCAGCGCACCTGCTTTTTAAGTTAAATATTATTTATTCGCTAATTTATAGTACAATTTTTGCGGATTCTTCCTTCCGTTTTATGCTCCCATTAATCAACTTTTCTTGCTTTGTTTTTGCCTGGGAATGGGGTAAACTTCCCCGAAGTCTAGAGGCGCAACTGTTGTTGTTCTCATCTTTTGATATGGCGGATAAAACCGGTCTAGGCACGCTCCATTTCCAGCTGAATAAGAGGGGGGCAGTTCTGCCATTTGTGATCGGCTTCAAATTAGCTTCTACGGAGTTCCGACATCTACGTGCAGACCGTTGATTTCATAATTAATGCAAGTGCACATAAGGTTCTATTAGAAAGATGTATTCTCTAGAACTCCACTAAATCACGCTAAGACACAAGACATGTATTACATTTACTGGCAGCAGCGAATGGTTTCTAGCATTGCCCTAAACAATTATTGTTGCGGAAAAAAAGCAAAAATAAAAGGAAAATCAAAAATAAAAGGAAAATTTTTGACTTTTTATGCAGCTTGTATGATATAAGGATTATGGGGATCACTTGAGACGGTGATTATTGGATACCATTTAGTTTACATGAAGATAAATTAGTACTGTGGAGGAACTGTGAAAAAATTCCTGAACGAAAAGTTTTTTGTAAAAAACACACACAGATGGATTCGACGCGCCATCTCAAATTTCTTAGATTTTTAGGCTTCAATTTTCATTCACCTCGCTACTTCACACATTTTCACATGGTGGTGAGGGGGCTGTACTGATGACTGCCATCGTTAATCGCACCTTACACTCTCTGTGTTTACAGCTAAGGGATGAAATACAGGCAGACTAACTTCTACATTTTCCTCTTTACATGGCTCTTCTACATGTCATATGGTTTGTACCACGTTATCAGCCCTGATATCTTCCCCAGCAATGGTCTATTAACTAATTAAATCTAACATTAAAATTTGTGAACTACGGCTGCTCCATTTTTTGCATGGTTCAAACTGGCCGTTTACTTCAGAAATATCGGTTCAGCCTACCAGGGCCGTGAATTATTTATCAATTTAACCCACTTCGGCAGTCCCACTTTGACTGTCCGCTTCTGATTCGGCTTTCGGATGGCCGTTACTGATCATTTTATTTAATTCCTCTTCGGTTTTCGAAAATTTTTTCTCTAACAACGGGAAAGTAAGGATCCAAATGCTGCTTGGCGGAGTATTTTGACACGGTATCCTAGTATCTCAATTTTTCTCTATGTGCCCCAACGCTGAGAGCCTGTACGAGTATTGGTGACTACATTGATTCACCCTGATCACCTCTTGTTCCAGGCGTCACAGAAGTGATGATGAAAGTCCGGAGAAACGCGACAAAGAAAAGGACAAGGAGAAGAAAAAGATCAAGATCAAAGAGGAGCCGTCAACTTAACTTGAAATCAGTTTTTTCTTTTTCAGCATTTTTTATTATCGTTGTACGCATAATTGGAGAGTTTTTTTTTCTCCCCCTGAAGCCTGAATTTTTTTGATATAATCACTACAGCAGTTGCTGGAATCATGTTTTTGACTGATCATATATTAATACGTTGTTTATCGCTCACCAGTTCTCCTGCACATCACTATTCAGTGAATCTGCAGTACATGTATGACAGTATTAAATGCAGTTTTTTTGGGATGGTTTATACCTGAATTCACAAAACACATAGTCTCTTCCCTCTTCTTTCCCCACGCACATACCTTCACGTCCTCCAGAGGCATTACCAGTGATTTGAGTAAGAGAAATGACCGTTAGCACCTTCGTAAGCTAGTAATTTTTTGATTATTTTTACATGAGCTTTTACGTTCCGGCAAAATTTTGACCTCTGAGCAAATTGCATCTGTCCTGAGCTTGTGCTTGCCCAAATTTTAGGGAGCTTTCAGAAAATTTGGTTTTAAAACCTCGGTGCTGCTGCCGTAGGTTTTCTCAAAATCTTTGGCCCTGCGCGGGATTGGTACCCGTGGGACGACCTGGCGACAAATTTAGCAGCCATGTCCACTTGTTTCCTGTGCCAAATAAAGCCCGTGCGGTAAAAATTATTTCGATTCGAGACGGAGCACTGGTACTTTTTTTTTTTTAATAGAAATTTTCTGAAATTCTTCCTTGTGGAGGAAATCGTGAGAAGGCGATGCTTGGAAAAGTTCTTGACGAATGAATACTGCAAGCTGTTGAATAGTCTGACGATTATGCCTTGGCACCAATTCTGGAGGCCAAGGTTTTCTCCTGTTTGGCCAGACTCCCTCTTTGTCGATGGCTGGCCGCTATTTTGCGTAGGTATTTGATCAGACAAGCGTTTTTCGATGTCTCAAAAATGGCTTTTCTGAGCGCATGTTACGTCAAACTTTCCAGCCCAGTCGACTGTGATATTATTTAACTGTTGAAATTCTCGTATGGAAATCCTGAACCTCAAGGTAAACCAAGGGCCTGAGCTGAAAAGGGCTTCACCGCTTTTACGAGTATTTCCGAGTAACTGATTTTACGAAATGTTATAAGAGCAAG